TTGACAAATGTCGCGCACAACTCGCCCGTTAATTTTTCGGGGTGTAGATTTAGCTGCGAGTCTGCGGCTGAATTTCGTTTGTCGTGAACTTTTTCAGTAAGATGAAAATGATGGGATGTTACGATGCTCTCTGAACAGTCCAAATGGGAGATTTTCTCAACTTTTATGCGTTTCTCCGTCATACGATATGATAGCGGGCAAGTTGGTCAGGTTGATCGTCGAACACTTCAAGGCCACCCCTATCTCGATCTTTCATTTATGTTTCGTTTGTTGCAAGTTGTGCTTTCGAAATTTGTGAATTTCTTTGTCGTAGCTGAAACTTCTTACACTTTGAAAAGCCTTCACTCTTGAGTAATAGTGTAAAAGTAATTCTACCATTAACAGAGTTCTTACGCTCGATTTTCGGATCGATTTCTCACTGAGCTGCTCTAAGAAAGTTTATTTGATTGTTTATTCATGAACATGGGGAGAGTCGTGGGCTACCGCTTCTTCGTTGGTTGTACAGTTGTTACTATTTGTCGACAACATCAGAATGTAAGGGGGGACGTGCGATTCGTGCGATTCCGGGTGCGCGCGGCAAATTGCGCGGCGGAATTCGTGATGATGCGAACGACTCTGACGCCTATTATTGGAGCACAAACTTGAAGCAGAGTAGGTCATTAGGATCAGCTGACCATATCCAACTATTCTACTTCAAGTTTGTGCCCCAAAAATAGGCGTCAGAGTCGTTCGAATTGCACCGAATTTCGCCGCGCAATTTGCCGCGCGCACTCAGAATCGCACGAATCGCACCACACCCGAATGTAAGGGCGGAAAGGGCGGAGGGGGTGTGTCATGACACCATCACGCGCGCGTGGTCACCGTTTCGATTCCCGGAGCGGTATCCGCCAGAACCAGTTAAGCCTTCCATCTCTCTGGAAACCGTTAATTGGTACCACACTTGTCTGGGAGGATAAAAGCACTGACATGTACATCGGCTGGCCACCGGAAGTCATCGTATAGGTCATATACGCCTTTAATACGCTACTACGGTTCTGAATGGAAGTCAAATGCGTTGGCGCATCCCTCAGATGAGATCGATTAATGCCAGAAGACTACCCTTCTATCCTTATCAGCAAGTACTATAAGAAGCTCACGCGTTTAACCAGACAAGTTGCTCAGTTATACAAGTGTCGTCATGCGGGTAGACTCCAAAGATCAAAGGAAACAATCTCTAGTATAAAAGGTACCAGATTATACCCTTGATTGACTGGATTGCGATTGGTGAAATGCTGTAGCGCATCCGATTTACATTCAATACATGCCAATGCTTCAATCGTCCCAAACCAGGCTAGTGCTAATCAGTCGCCCCTAGGAATGGAAAGCTTAGTTGGCTCGCGTAGCTTCCGATTCGGGCCTCAGTTTCCGGACATTGCATGCGGTAGTACGCTGCTTGGCCTACACCACTCTCAGCTCAGTTATCCCTTCATTCGCAATATTTATTTTATTGAAGGGAGGGAAGCCTCGGCTAAGACGGAGAATCTTTTTTTGCTTCAAAAACTGAAACTTTGAACGATCCGTTAGATGTTTATGTGGTGCATGTGATATGGTAAAACGATAGGATTATGCTCGTGAGCTAAACTATCGAGCGTCGAGTCATGCATGTTATATGTGATTATATTTTAGATGGAAGATGAAAGCAGTAATTTGAGAAGACGAGTGGGCATACGAGAAGACCGTGACGATGAGCTACGTCTTGATCCGAAAGATAGAATAGGAGATGCTGGATGCTACACTACAGAAGGAGAAACTGAAGATGATAGCAAGTGAATGAATCTGGTTTTCAACATCCTAATGCTAATCATATTTCATCCATTTTTTGGTAACATTCTCAGTAACAGTGTAAAAGCAATGCCGGAAATGTTAAGGTCCCATCGAACCGTCAGACGACGTTCGAGAAAAGAACTGGAAAGGATACATTTTCAAATGGTTAACGATCGTGTTGTGGAGGATATAACATTGGATATCTTGTATAAACCTCATACACTAACGATCCTTGCTTGCCTTTGTATATTCGTTTGCTACAAAGCATTTTCCGGGTGAGTTATCATCTAAGAATACTTTTCTTCTTATTCATTCGATCATACTTTCAGCTGACCATCTCTCTGTACCCACCCGAAATCCAAAGGATAAACTCTTTGCCTTTGATCAGTTCCATCTTTAGGTGTGCTCACGCATTCTACTTCAGCTTTTATCCTCCCAGATTAGTCTGATACCACTTACCCGATAGATGGCTTTATTGGGCTAGGCGTATGTAGATTCAGATGGCGACAGTGCGTTTCTTGCACTCCATCAAAGCCACACCAATACCCGCTCGAACGGTGTTTTCTTAGCGATAATATGGGAACTTTCATAATGTGATATAAAACTATGTGTGTGGGATGATGTGATTTACCCTCATTTCTTATCAGTTTACTATTTCAGAAATGATGGAGGTACTGACACCAACGTATATGATGGATGCATGGGGACGCTGGTCCTTTTTCTAATTGTCAGTGCACTGGCTTTCCCTAACGGTTCGTTCTGCATCATGCTTTTTTAGAAAACCTCTCAAGGCGTGGCTTGAAGTGGTGCCCGTAAGCCCGTATATAAATACAATATTCGATGACTGAACCCAACTTACCCACGACTTTCGTGATGGTAGTAAGTACCAGACTCACTCGAAGCAAGTGTGTTTTATGCGTTTTCCTTTTTGATTCATTGGTCCAGAAGTGAGCTGAGCATGGTTCAGTTACTTGCAAAAGCTGGAGGGTACAATTGATACTGAACCTGTTACCATTTCCGAAGGGTAGTTTAATGAGAGGAGTGGAATTGTAAGAGTTAAATTGGAAGTTGATAGGTAAACTGGCAGAAATCTAGGGTTACGACAGATACCAGAAGTGGGGGTGCGGGGCAAGTCAGGAATGCATTTCGAAAGCGTGAAATGCAGTTTATGTTTCCTATGATAAACGAGTTCGCATTCTATATTCAAGTATGCAGTATTTGTTCTGTAGGACCGTTCATTCGACCACACCCTATTCTATGGAGAATCATATTTGGCATGTCGGTGATATATTTAATGATACTCCAGTTTACCTTATTTCAAACCTATGCGGACATCAAGAAGGTTCTTTCATGGTTAGATCCTGATGGTTTGAGTAAGGAGTCGCTCGAAGAGAAGGTGACTTTCGTTTCCATACTTGTAGGGATATTGATAGTGGTGTTACCTGTCATTCTTTTCACTTGATCGTTTCCGTAGTTTTTTATTTGTTCCTTAGAGGCGCTTGTAATCAATAGTATCTGTTTCCGTTCTCCTCATATTCCTTGACCAATTTCGCTTTCTTCATCACTTGTTACAATTATGCTAAAAATTGAGTTCAACTTTCAGGCGTACGCTGTGAACTGCTCCGATGTTACTCTGGAACGAGTATGGAGTCATATGGACATCTTCGCTGTGGGACACTTCCTTGGATGGGCTATGAAGGCCTTACTGATACGACACGGCATACTGTGCTGGTATATCAGCATTGCATGGGAACTCACAGAAGTATAATCACTTTTATGATGTGCACTTATAATCCCTACAGAAGAGGGGATGGTGAAGGCTTCCTGCTGCTGATAAAATAACTTTACGAATTATTTTCTAGGTCGTATTCACACAACTTCTCCCCAATTTCGAAGAATGTTGGTGGGATGCCATTCTCCTGGACGTGCTACTTTGTAATGGTCTCGGGATATGGTTTGGATTGAAAGTGTGCAGTTTTTTCCGAATGCGGCAATTTCACTGGGAAAGTATCAAGTAAGTGTTTCATTAGATTTTTTCTCATTAACCTAACGCTTTTTGACATCAATTTCACATTAATTTTTCAACAAGTGACTAGGAGAGAGGTGGCGTAGCGGCATGTGATCGAATATCGAAGGTACTCATCCGGAACAACCAAACCTTCAATCCGCTGGGGTCGCAGGCTCATCTGGGAGAATAAATGAACACCCACTGGCCACCTCAATTTGTTAGTAGGCCATACGCGGACATACGCGCTCAGAGTACCCCTACGATTCTTAATAAAAGTTTAATGCGGGGGTGCATCTCAGAAAAGGCATCGAGCAATGCTGAAGTCTTTGTCATCCAGTAAACCACTTTGTGAATGGCTTCAAATTATTTGCAAGCATAAAAGAAAAGGTCCGTATTTCCCCACATTTTTCCGTTGAAACCATCTCAAGAATGCAGTCTTAGTCTTAAGCATGAGTGTAACTCGGACGCATGAAGCTTGATTCATGGCTCATCATAATTTCCGATCTTCCTATTCTAACAATTAGTATGTCATTATCATTCCAGGGACATAAAATCACACCGTGGTCGCTTCAAGCGTGCAGTAATGCAGTTTACTCCAGAAAGTTGGACAGAACTGGACTGGTTTAATTCAACTGCGCTTAGGAGGACAATGGCTGTATATGTTTTTGTCCTGATTTGGCTGGTTAGTCTGCTCCTTGCTTCTCTTTTTAGCCTTTTTTTCAAGAGGAATTGATCGAGTGGATTGGTGGCTCCCAATTAATCGGAATATCAGTCGCATAAAAAGACCCACCCACGCTGAGCAGAGCGTGCGCCTGGGCGCTACTGTGTCTATGGGAATCATTCTGTTTGGGATAGCTTCTTTCTCGCCTGTGACATCTGTGGTTCCAACGACCGTTCATTTGCAGAAAAGCGACGGGATGTCTACAAATTCAGCAAAGTGGTCTGTTTCAGTGCTCTTAAGTACTCCTCATGTCGCTAGTTTCTCTCTAGACTATGAAGCTTGTCCGCTGTAATGTTGGTTTCCCCACCCAGATGCACTAAATTGGAGTATTGGAAATGTATGTATCACTGCTTCTGTACCACATCCACCGTTAGGCTCTCCCTAGGCCAGGCTATGAACATCCTGAATATAGGAACGTGATAGCATTAATCATGGAATGATGCAATCAGAGCAAGTTCCTTTCCTTTTTGTTCGCTTCTGGTCTCTGCAGAATTGATACACACTTTTGCATCAGTTTTCACATAAATTGATCGTTGACATATTTCAGCTCACCGAGTTAAATACATTTTTCTTGAAACACGTCTTTGCTGTGGATACGAAACATTTTGTGGTGTTTTGGCGGATCATTCTGATCGCACTCATTTCTGCACCATCAATCAGGTGAAAGTTAAGATTGAACCATTTTCTCATTTGGTTTTTTGAGTATGTTCTCATCACGTTGACGGCAATCTGATCTACATGCTGGCTACACTTTTTTCTCCTCGCGGGACCGTGTAGTCCACATGTGGACTGCAATGGTTTTTTTTTTAAATTTTATTTGGCTAATTTCCATTTCTGCCACTTTTCTCTCGAATCACTAAATTTCACCAATTTGAAGCTGTATACTGCGTTGGTTTCAGATAACTTTCATTTTTTGAAATTTTATGTTTTCACCATATTTGTAGGGGAATATACTCTTGAAAGGAATATATTGCTCAAAATGAATTCTTCCTTGAAAAGGAACTACTGACTCAACGATGCCTTTTTGCTGTGGACTTTTTGTCGGCCTCATAGTACTTCGGCACTGTTCACTGAAAAGCTTCGAAAAATGAGATAACCTGAAGAAACGATCGTCACATCATCGTTAAAGTTATCGATTACATGCAAAGCCTATGAAAGCTCCAATTAGGCAGTATTAATCCACGCACATTGCCATCACTTGGCTTGTTTTATTATTTCAATTGATTATATTCCATTCACATTATTCCTGCATCAGAGTAGAAGTTATAGATCGTTATCGAATAAATTTAATTGGGAAAGACTTCGACGTCTCGTTGTAGAGAGCTATAACATTCTTGTTTAAACTCATTTTCAGACAGTTCTATCTATACGCCACAGATCCCCTTGTGAAAAGAATCGGTATGCAGTGTTGGGTATATTGTGCGGTAGCCGCTCTTGAAGCTGCAATATGTGTCAAGTTCGGACGGCACATGTTCCCGAACTTGCCCGTTTACCGCTTCATTGCGTGGATAGCATTCTTGGTGAGTAATGCCACTAACAGTTCCCTTCAGAACCCCGTGAACGATAACATCGAGGTTAATGTGTCTTTCTTGCGAATCTGTATAGGTTTCCAAGCTTTATCAGCTTCTTGTGTATGGCTCAGTTTTTTTGAAGCAAATATTAGCTGCCCGCTGGCTTCAATTTTTAAGCGTTGAAAACAGGTCACAGCACCTAAGATTCCTGCCCATAAGCAGCATATCAAGTAAAGATCTGCAAAGGTCAGATTTAGTTAATTACCGAGCATTGAGACACACTCTGTCATAACTTCATACTTGCGGAAGCTCAATGAGGCTTTCATTTGTTTATAGGTAAGGTGTCACAATAAGTGGCAAGGAGTAGAATGATTTTTTTAAGGAGTAGCTCCCTTACATACTTCCACTTCCCTATCCCACCGATCCCCTTGATTCTGTTCCATTCCTGTTTTTCTTTCATTCTCTCACCCTCGCCCACATTAATTGAGTAATCACGCTTTTCCTTGTGAAGGAACGGTTGGATTACTGTTAGATATACTGGGCTGTTGGGAAAGTAATTGCGATGCACATGCACATACACATACCCACATATTACATTTCCAGCAAATTTTTGAATTAGAGTAAGATAAGCTTATTCCTTGAACACTCTCAGAATTTAGAGAACTGTTTGCTGAATGTTGAAATCGAGCTGTATTTTCAGGTTGTCGGAACATTCTTCAGCATATGGCTGTCTGTATGGTGGGCGCAATTCGCATCGGTAAGCCTATGTGTTCGAGTTAATCATTTAAAAAAAAAGATCTGTATGTTTTGCGCACAGAAATGACGAATTGTACTTTTCTGCAATAACCATGTAAAGGAACGATGGCAGTCAGTGTTCCACCATTTACATATTGATCTTCTTTGAATCTTTGCTGAAATATTCTATTTTCTACAAGTCTTTTCATTGAATCCGCAAATGTCGATAAGGATAACGTTCGTCGGCAATTGACCTTACGCTAGTGTTCAGTGATTATTCCATATGAGCGGGTGTTGCATGACTTTTTCATGAAATTATTTGCATTGTGGAACCAGCTATCTTTTTCCTTCGATTAATGCCCTTCAGTTAATGCTGCGTTTGGATAATCTTTTAGTGCCCACTTCAACAGGGATGGTTTTCGATTTTTCCTTGATCGAAACCTCTTTTTCATCTTATCTTGGTTGTTCAAGAAATTGAGGTCCCTAGATAGTGGGGCCCTTGCACTACAATTCTTTCTTACTCGGGATTGGGCTCTTTTCGAAACTTCAACCGTATGTTGTGAAGCCACGTGAGTGAATTGTACTGTACTTGATCTCCGTGAAGTTCTAAAAAATGGTTTTTGGCTGTAGCTAGAAATAGTAAGAAGTAAAAAAGAGCTTCTTGTAGACTCCACAAGAAGTTACTCAAAATTATCGAATAGTTTTATCTTTGTGCATCAATTGTGAACTAGAGCGCTCATTTGGGCAGCCCAAAACTATCGCAGTTTTAGAAGTGGTCCCTGACCCTATATATTCCTGACCGACTTACCTCACTATTCTATTTACTCATCGCTCACCACTTTTCTTCTGTACTAACCTAACGTGTTTTCTACATTTCAATGGAACCTTTTCTCTGTGCGTGAAGCATCTATTATTCACCATACTGGCTGTTGAATCCGCTGCTAATGTAAAAGTAACTACATGGCAACAGAGGTGCGACTCCGGATAAGACTGAGAGTGAAGTGTCGTAGTCATGACTCATATTTGAGTGAACCGATCTTCTTCCAAAAAAGATAATTCCGAATTTCCAGAACACAAAAGAAATGGACTTCGACGGAGAAAAACGCGTGTGCTACCTTGACTCGTCACACGAAAATCTTGGAGCAATTCATGATGACGTGCGCCGTCGCCGGCGCGATCTTGGAATTTCCGAATCAGACTTCCAGTAATCTCCGAGCTACTCCCACTCTTCCCTCTCTGCATCCTTATGATCTTCTGCAGTTGGAAGCAGCAGAATTCCAGATCATATCCACTCTGCAACGGGTTTTGTGCTTCTTAGTTAGAAAACGGCTTTGCTTAAAAAACCATTGGCTTCAGGTGCTTCAACCTTTGTTGTGTTGGATTAAATGTGTAAGCTCTCACAGTCATTTTTATTTTAGAGTAATAGAATTTGAAATCTTCATTTTTGAAATAGTTATACAATAGATTGTGTTATCAGAATGAATGAAAGACATTCAACTTGTTATTGTTGTTATAGATACCACTGTTTAGCTTTTTCCTTCAAGCTGAGACGGTCACGATGTTAATCATTTTTCGTGCGACACCGATGTTACTGTTTTTTTTTTTGGTTTTACTTTTTGAGTTATTTCGATCCAAGGTAAACAAAATGTGCAGTCTTCCAATCCTAAAGATGTTTCACTGATCTACGATGTGCATAGAGTATTTTCCTGCGTTATGGCGGTATCGAGCTGATAAATATCGCTTTTGTTATTTCCTTTGATATTTCTCGCCAGATTATGATAAAAACGTTTTCTAGATAGACAACCTTAACAGCGGGCAGAAGGTTCAAGTACCAGCACACATAGTCCATAGCCTAGTGTTTGCTGACTAGATTTGGGGGAACCACGAATGTGAATTATTCGAGGGTCCAAACGAACAAGCCTGCGAGAAAATCGCGACAGGTGCTTTCTAATAGCCCACTGCAGAAGTACACCCATCAATACATATGTACCCTAAAATTCCATAGATAAGAGCGGTTGACACTACCGGTGAAAAATGAATTGGAATGAAATTGAAATTGAATGCAGTCACCCTCTAACTTGATGNCATCAAGTTAGAGGGTGACTGCATTCAATTTCAATTTCATTGCAATTCATTTTTCACCGGTAGTGTCTATCGCTCTTATCTATGGAATTTTAGGGTACATTCAAGGATTTTTGTTAGCTCGATATTAGTCTTCTAATCTTCGAGTATTCTGCGTGCAAGGTTTAGGTTTTAAACTCGCCGTTCGAAGTTTTTCTCAATCTGTTCTTTATGTGATTAGTTGTATTGTTCAAATACTAAGGAAAAGCGGGAAAAAAGGATTACTGCAACGATGATAGGGAGAGAATGAAACAAGGGGAAATGAAATGTAGAAAGAATAATGGCATAGCGTTTGTGAAATAGTATCAATTAGGGATGAAAGACTTCTTTATCTGGAGGTTTCGATGGTTTCGATGGAGTATAGATAGGGTATATGAGGCAATTAGTAATTGTCCTTTCTAACCTCAAATAAAGTCTAAAGTATGAAGTCTTGGGACGGTAAGCTATCCCGTCAGAGAGATGCGACCACGCATTCGTCTTCCAGTCGGAATCGTAATGGCGTAGTGAATGCGTATGTGGCCAATTCAATGAGCCGATGTACAAGTCAGTGCTTTTATCCTCCCAGACAAGTCTGGCACTGACCTCGGAGGGACGGAAGGCTTGGTTGGCCTAGGCGGATATTGGTACGTGATTCGAACCCGTGATTGTGTGTGTGTGTGTGTGTGAAGTGCGTTACTTGCCACTACAGCAACTCTACCCATTTTAACCTCAACTAATAAGAAGGATAAAAGCCGCTAACATCCACTCCTTAATTTTCGCTGATGTCATTCACGCAATTTTGAGAAGGGTACGTCGGATACATAAGGCTCCGAAAAAGAAGTCCAACTAGGGATTGGACGAGAGTATGTTGCCTGAAACGCCGTTGTAACTCGTCCCCTTGGGCGCGTGCGTCGGCTAAGCCGGTTTTTGTACTTTATTATGTCATATCTAGGCCGTGTTGCAACCCGAAAGTGTCCGTTTTTGTGTCCTTCAGGGTTGCCTTACTAAGGAATCTCCGCAGGATGAACCTGCGAACACCAATGATAGAAAAGAATACAGGTAGCAGCAGAATGAAACATAAATTCAATAAAGGTATATTTCTCACAATTTTACAATTCGACAGACAGGTGCAAAGACAACAGTATACTATTGGGTTGATGCATAATTATTACGGATTTTTTTCAGCAAATTTTGCTTAAAGAAACCATAGAAATATTTATCAAAGACATGTTCAAATATTTACTCCAGAACATATCCACCATCTACGGCGAGCATTGCTTCTCATTTGCTAGGCAGTCGAATACCACAGGCGAAGTGTCTGCGATTCTTGAAGACGATCACGCCTTGACGTCGGCCATCAAGCCATCCATCTCGTCGAAAGTTCTGTTTGTTAGCCAATTTTTCAACGGGCGATTGACCGACCGTAGAAGCAGATTCCATTTTCACTCGGGTTTGGCTGACTGTTCCATCGCCGAGAAGTTCGTTGAGATCACTTTATGACTGCGCCATCTTCCAACTTTTCTCGAAGTAATAAGGCATAATGTGGCGTATATGAAGATGACTTTCTAGACATATATCTGTTAATGAAAGTAAGAAGGTTAGTTCTATTAAATCCCGAGTTCAATATCCAAATTGGATCGAGAGAGAAAAAGCCGCGAAAAAATCCGCAATAATTATGCATCAACTTATTATTATTATTAATGTAGCTATAAGCATACATAGCTACTACTTCATACAATTCCGCCAATACATCAGTTCTTCACAGTCCTTATACTTATTTTGATAAGCATTGTTATGCTTTGAAGATCATTCCTTGGTATGCCATAGCTGCATGCGGATGACCCATCAGATAAGAAAATTGAATATCTGAATCTGAAATTAATAGATTGAGTTCAATCACATAATCACATTTGCAAAAAAGAGCTCGTAGAAAAATTTTGGTCATATGGGCTCTTCTTTAATGAAGAGATTTGTTCTAATAGGATTATCCCTCCAGTATAACTATTACACCATCTTACTTAAAGGCACAGTTCATGAAAATAAAAAATGGTTCTGAGATTCCTCATAGGATGAATCCGAGGTACCTCCTGGTACTATATGCGCTGATTTCTGGTAGAGAAACGGCCTGGATAGGGCACAATAAGGGACCAGACGCTGTATGGTGTGAATGCCACACCCACAGCGGACGAGTCTCGATGACGTTGTAGAGGTTGCACTATCTCAAGGGATTTTCATGTTAGAAGTTCAAAGAACTTGTCATTATCCATGGTGACAGTAGAAGGCAGTTTTAGACAATACAATTTTGACTTGATGTATTCAGTTCCTTGCGCGCAATTACAACAACTGAAGTCTCGTTCGAATGCCCCCCNTTCTTCGCCAACGATGCACTACTCTACATCAACAATTTCGCTTTTGAACTTGAACAGGTAACTCAAATTATCGTGATCGGTGTCTTTGATAAATAAATATGCATATATATATATATGTACGTATAGCTAAGTATAGTAAATTAAGATGTTATTCAACTACCTGTAGGCACACTTGGTAAAGAGTTGCTCCATAAATATGGGTTTATTCGTTGCTGGGGAAGGATTGGAGTACCAAATGGTAACCGTTGCATAGCACTGTCGATTCCATTTAGTGAGTTGAATCCGTAACGATTGAAGAATAGACTGTTATCGTAGTACGGAATTCGATACGGATAACTGTGGAAAATCTGAGGCTGAAATCGTGTATAATCGCAATTCAACATCGCTCATATTTCCCTATTTCACATACCCAAGTCGAAAGGGGGTACCGCCTTATGTGGTCTCCTCCATTGTGCGAGAGCGTATCGATGTTCTCGCCAATATTGCCCGATTCATCGATCGATATTGATTGAGATGTTTCATCGAGTTGACTTCCAGCGATTGTTGCCGTTGAACTACTAGTTATGGAGGCGTGCCCTGTTAGTTACGCAAGTTGTTCTTCATTCCTTCAGTTCACTCTATCAATCATTCATTGTTTCACTAATCTTGTGCTTCTGCTACACTTGTGTAAGATGACTAAAACTTCAGTAATGATAATAAAAATGCTTATAATGTACTAAATGTATAATAATTTAGAATGTGAACATAAGATCTCAGCGTAAAATTCCGACTTAAATTAAACGCACACTTCGTGAAGAAAATGGGAGAACTATATGTGGCGCTGTCAAGTCGGAAAACGGTCCAGATAAAGCTTTATAAGGTCTTAGAGATTGTATCGGCCGAAAGCCACACCCATAGCGGACGAGTTTCAACCGCATTGTAAAAGCTGCACCATTCACAAAGAAACCCAGGTAGGAAGTTCGGGTATGTGGACGAACGTGGTCCGAGGATGCGCGCGGCAAATCTCGCGGCGAAGTTTGTAACGACTTGAGCGACTTTGGCGCCTATCATAGGGGCCTGAATTTGAAGTTGAGTAGATTAGAAGGATCATCTGACTTTACTAAACTATTCCACATCGAGTTTGTACCCCGAAAATTGGCGTCAGAGTCCTATAAATCATCACGAACTTCGCCGCGCAAGTTGCCGCGCGCATTCTCGGACGCACGTTCGTCCCGTCCCCCAGGAAGTTCTAACAAATAGTCACGGCCAGAGGAAGATTGCTTTGGTCTATTTGGTATGATGTAGTTCCTCAACCAATACTGGCGCTTTTCTGGTTGAAAAGATTACCCCAAATTCATCGTGAACTGTCCCTTCAAGGAGCTGTCTTATCAGTGGAGAACTGTGATTGTTTGAGGCAAGATGAACTGGTTCTTGTACCTCCCTTGATACTAACAAAAAGTGGGATCATCTACGAGAAAAAAGCTTTCTCCCATTGTGCAGGCCCAACAGTATCTATACAAAAACTAGCCACCAACCCAATGGTCAAACTTGATGAAGCCGATGACATGACTCTGATAGCGCATGGTAGGATAAACTCCAGGCAAGCTGCTGAAACGGCAGAAAGTGCCAGCAGAGAATAGACTCTGGTCAAATGAGCAGGAGAATGAGCTCTTTAGCTGAGAGAAGTGCGTAGAACCGGAATTGCACCATTACGGAGATGTCCTTCAGAGAGCAGGGAACTTCCGTTACCTGAGAGGGGATGTGTTCGATAACGATAGTGTGGATGAGACTGCAGCTGCTCGAATAACTGTGAGATTTGTGAAACGAACATATTCCAATGTTATCTTCGATGGTGTGGAAAAGCTCATGGGAAAGGTTTCTGTAGCAAAGGCGAGGCCCACGATGCCAGGATTGATGGAAGGCACATTGCAAAAATGAATTTATTGAGATGGGTCTGCCGTTAGACGCGCTCGGATCGAAATAGAATAGAAGACGTCAGCACGACTCTTATAGACAGCTTCTGTAGAATAGGAATTGGGAGGATTGTTCTCGCGATGGGGCGTGTTGAGAGGATGCAATAAGAGAAACAATGGAGTGCGGAGCTCAGAAGCAACCAGGAAGAGCCTCAAAGTGAAAATTGAAAGAGGTTGCCACGGGGATTTCTCTGAAGCCGAGATAACAGCAGAGAATACGTAGATCAATGGTAGGGATCACAGCTAAGAAGAGCAAAGGACCATACACTGGTCGGGGTTAACGCTAGGGAGAAGAAGAAAAAGGCTATCGATGAATTGATCTATTCCTCCAAAGATAGAACTAATGGTCTACAGAAGCTCGGTTATGTGGTTTTGTTAAACTACGTCCCGTGTGTAGAAACGCAAGGATACTTCTGTTACTTGCTACTCTCGGTGGTACAGTTCGCGATGATTCACATATCTTTATCGGATTACAGGGCGGCAGGGTTGAAGAGGAACTGTTCATGGGTGGCAAAGAAGACGAGGAAAAGTAGAAAGCACGAAATAGTAAGCTTTTTTTGTATTAGTCATTTCAAAGTTTGGCAAGGAAATGATGGCGAACGTTGGGTTCAAGGTTCGGAAGAGATTTCGGTGCCTGCACAGATGGTTGGTCCTTTGACTGTATGAGTTGATGTGATAGCATTTACTGCAACCATGCCCATTTGAAATGATATCAACCATATAAAATAAGTAATTACATTTCTTCGTCATTACTGAGCAAGGGGGGGGGGGGGGGGGGAAACAGAAGTGGTTTTTGAGCCTTTCACACAAGCCATAGTCTACTGAGAAATCTCCAAAGCCTTTTCTCGCAACGTGAACTGTGCCTCTGAACGTAAGAAGTGTCAACTTGTCTGATGTGTAGAGCCGTAGAAACTTCAACTAGTCAGGGTGAAGCAGCTGACAATTTCCATGCTTCGAAAAAGGTTTCTAGTGAGCGGGAACTTTTTTGATTTGTAGAATACTAACTATTAAACTAAAAATGCAGCACGCCTGCGGTATTCTTTGAGTTTAATAAGATTATTTTGTATTGAAAACGTGATTCTTTTCTTGGATAAATGCTGAGTTGTGAACAAATGTCAAGGTAATGCGGAGCCACCATGGATATTTGCTTTATCCCCAACCATTCCCGCTGGTTTTTACATGAAAATTGTTTAAAATCTTATTATAATGTCAGGATCACGAAGTGGGCGGTACCTAGTAGAACCGTTGAATACAAAAATGTCCTAATTCCAATACAATGAAAAAATGTGATTTTTTTGAATCGAAAACAGCTTTACCATGATAGAATATTGAGAGCAGGATGAGAAGGTATGGCATTAGTGTTGGATTGAGCCGTATGAAAACTCGAAAGGGGCTGGATCGTCTACCCAATGAACTAGTTCACGAATTTCATTTAATCCTGTGCGGAGTGATCGCGAACTCATCAGTGTAACCTCATTTTATCCGCTGCATGGGGCCAGCAACATATCGGGCAATCTAGTTTTTCAAGGGATAATTTTCAAAAAATTTCATGGCCGAATTTATCGGTGAGAAAATGCTGACTGAGCTGCTCAAGGAATGTACAAACTGTCCATGGACCACCCCTCACTAGATCACATTTAATTCCGGAATGCAGTGCTTCCTAAGAAAATTACTCTATATACATTTGCAGGTGAAAATGTAGTTGGGGGGGGGGGCACACATCATAAGATTATCACGATATATCAGTAACATATCAGTATAGCATATCGCGCGCGATTTTCTATAATTTTCTCATTAAATCAATCAATCAAGAATATGACTCATATCATACGAGAGTGACTTGATTTCAGCCTCCAGACCGCATATGTGAAAACAGAGTACAAAGACGCCTTGCAGCTGGCTGAGAACCATGCACGTGCGACCGCCACCCCAATAAAAAAGCCGCCACGGTCCAGCCGTATCGCTGGCTCATCTACATACTCTCAACCTCAACCCTTCCTCAGTTGTATGTTCTCGACATGTCATCAAATACATATCTCCATGTTTTCAGTCACTTATTCCTATGATATCCTCATGTCTTCAGACATATAGTCAGTTATGATATCCTCACGCTATCAGCTACTTCTTATGTTAATCGATGCTGCCTTATGCCATAAACTCTTATACTCGCCTTTACTTTATATAGCCTTTCTTTTTATATAGCCTTTCTCGCTGAGATTTGGGTGAAGCGAGAAAAAAGGGTACTTATATACATATATGTTACTGACATCACTCTTACTATGAAACAGCTGTAACTTTGTTTGACACAGAAAAGGCACTGATGGAATCGGAAGTATGTCGAAGAGGACCGTCCAGCCGGGCTTCTCCTTGGTATACCGGAGAAAGACACCAGTTGCACACCACATATAAGCGCTCAAGCCAGAACATCGACCGTCACACTGTACTCCATCTCACTTCATTCATGTTTTGTAATTTATGTCTCTCCAACAATGGAAGCTCCTTTATCGGTCTAATTACCCAAGTTAGAGGCTTCCACGGTGCAATAAACTGATGATGATACCCTGTCGTGTTATCGTGTTGGTGCAAGGATATCGACTATTTGAGTTATACGCCGAACCGTCGCAAGAAGATTAAGAGATTACCCTGATATCACTCAAGGTTATTCCCTTAAATGGTGCATCGGCCGGGAATATCGCGGCAAACCGCGAGTCGCTGAGACTTAGGATTCGGCATGAAGAGCAAGAAAGCGACAACGAAGACGACGTTGAAGTGAGGATCGAGGAGGAATGGATCAATCCTGAGGAAGAACAGGAGATCCGTTCCCAAGAGCATGGAGAGGCTCCTGAAGAAGAAGAACACGAAGCCCGGGACGTCGCGCAGGCAGCTGGAGATCAACCGATCCATCAAGCACGTGACGAAGTAGCCTAGCTGCTACTGCAACTAAAGCAGCAAGACAAGCCGTGCGCGATTTCCGACTAATGATGAATGATGTGAAAGAGAGGGAACGATGTCAACTGCGAAGGTGCGATAGAACGATACAAAACTATCACGAGCGGTTCATGCCATGCGCATTCTGCGGACATAGATTGAACCACTATTCCGACTTGTGCACAGTGCACATGTTCACGGAAGACCGATGGAGAATAGTTGATCGGGAACAGTCGTGCCCTACGTGCCTCTACTACACCTGTTTCAGAGGGCAATGGTGCCGAAAGCGTAACTCAAGGTGCTTTTACTGCAACTAGACAGGGCACCATTCGGCACTATGTACCCTTCCGGAAAGGAGTGCGCGTATCGAAGACGAGCTGGAAGCGTTACGGCGACGACATGACGATGCCCAAGACCGCGTCCACCGGCTGATATACAGACTCGAGAGGCGAGGAATGGACGTGTAACATCGACAAGCATGGCGGGGCCGGGAATATCGCGACGATCCGCGAGTCGCTGAGATTTGGGTGAAGCGAGAAGAAAGTGTATTTATATACATATACAGACACAGAAAAGGCACTGATGGAATCGGAAGTATATCGAAGAGGACCGTCCAGCCGGGCTTTCCTTGGTTTACCGGAAAAACACACCAGCTGCACACCATATATGAGCAACCAAGCCAGACCATCGACCGTCGTACTGCACTCCATCTCACTTCATTCATGATTTGTAATTAATGTTTCTCATACAATGAAAGCTCCTTTATCGGCTCAATTACCCAATTATGAAGTTCGCGTTCCACGGTACAATAAACTGGTGATACTCGTGTTATCGTGTTGGTGCAAGGATATCGACTATTGAGTTATACGCCGAACCGTCGCAAGAAGATTAAGAGACTATCCTGATATAACTCAAGGTCAGTCCTGTGAGTTGCTCTTGCTTCTATCGTTATAGAATTAGTGTTGCTTTGATTACCCAAGTTTGAAGTCTATGCTTGACGCAATAAAGTTGTGGTATTTTGACGTCTGGCTGTTGTTGTGACAAGAGTATAGTAACAATAAAGTTGAAGGACTATTCTTGATACAACTGCAATATGTCAGTATAGTCAGTATATGGTGTACTGGCCCGAAATCGAACCCGGGCCGCCCGCGTAGCAGGCGAGCATTTTACCGCTGTACCACCGATGCATTCTTCGTCCAGGTAGCTGCGATAGAGGACAACAGAGCCGCCAACGAAACACTTTGCTTGAGGAGTGATCATTATAGGCTTTCATTTAAAACAAAAACCCGTCGGAAAATATAGGAAGGAATGAGCGATGAGGAACCCGCGCGGTTCAAGCCGGAAACGAGACAAGAGAAGTAGTGTCGGCTCAACAGGAGACACGTCGTCCAAGACACGTTATAGAAGCGGATCTTCTGAAGAACGCAAAGCTTCAACTCGGCTCGCGATGACATACCAATGCCATGGCCGTGGCTTCCCAAGATCGGCAGCGATGAGACGCCCGCTACATACATGCATCTTCTGCTTAACAACCGGATCTCACTATGCCGATGCGTGCTTCCAGATAAGATCGGTACAGGAGAGACGCTATTTGTGCAACATCATGGAAAGTGCGTTCGATGCTCAGAGTGCTGTCCACGAGATTTCATTTGTCGCAAGTACACGCCAAGTGTTTCTACTGCGAAAAGGAAGGACAACATCTGTGCTCCGCGATTTACCCGAGCAGGCGCTGGAAACCCGCACCAGACTGGAACAGGGCAAAGTCAAGCGAACCGCCACTCCAAACGCATGAAAGAATTATATGACGAAGTAGGCACCATCACTAATCCCCGGCCATTGGCGCTGGCGGGAATATCGCGGGTAACACGCGATTTTCCGTAATTGTCTCATCAAATCAGTCAATCAAGACTATGACTCATATCAGACTTAATTTCAGCTTCCAGACAACACCTTGTAACCTTGAGGACTACGCTCCTTGAGGACGCCACACCAATAAAGGAGCCGCCACGGTCTAGCCGAATCGCCAGCTTAACTTACATGCTCTCAACCTCAACCTCCTTCCTCAGTTGCTTGTTTTCAACATGTCATCAAACAAATATCTCCATGTCGTCAGTCGCTTATTCCTGTGATATCCTCATGTCTTCAGACATATATCTCCATGCCGTCAGTTATGATACCCTCATGTTATCGGCTGCTTCTTATGTTAATCTGGTGCTGCGTTATGCCATGAACTCTTATCGTTGCCTTCATTTTATATAGCCTTGCTCTTGCTTCTATTGTTATAAAACTAGTGGCGGTTTAATTACCCAAGCTTGAGGCCTGCGCTTGACGCAATGAAGTTATGGTATTTATTTTGACGTGTGGCTGTTGTTTTGGCAAGTATATAGTAAAAGGGGGTTAAACGACTGTTCCTGATATAACTACAATGTCAGTATAGGCACTATACACCAAGAGCGAAAAGAAAGAAAAAAAGGCTTCGCCCTGTTACCGCCGGGTTCCCCCATCCTTTCACAGAGCTGTAGTTAACTCTCCACTCCTTCTTTGAAAAAATAGTATTTTCCTGTACACGAAGTCTGGCACAATGCTAGGAGGACAATGCTAATGTATTCAAAGTAAGTCGGTGCTTATGCTTTCAATTCGAATTCTCGATCTTTTGCCCTTTTTCTCAAATTAAACACCCAACAAAGATTCAACTGTAAGGCAACCAGAGCTTTGGGCAGCTTTCACGGATGTTTCGCGCGATGGTAAGACCTATATTGTATGTCGTTATCAATGCATCTTTTTCTATGTAGATATCATCAGTCGAGAATATCAGATTGCTTTCGGTAGATTGAGTTTTCTAGCAAATGTCATTGAACAAAGAGGATCCCCCTCATTGATCCAAAAACCTTACTGTATAGCGGTCGTAATCTAATAGCAAGAAATGAACAAAATTCTCATCTGCTTATCGCGGTGCTGCTAACGAGTTCCTATCACTGCACCTACCACTCACTCACCTAGGTCCCCCTACTCTACTACCCCAACTTATTGATTTAAGCATATCAGAGAGGCAATGCTTGATTGTGAATACCAAAGCCGTTAAGATTTGATCGGCAAGTTTCTATTGCTCTCTAAGACCACTTATCAACTCTTATCAGTTCTTATCAATTCCTGTCACGGTGTACCTACGACCCTGTCACATCCTAAACCACCTATTAAAATGCCCAAGTGTCACGAACGACACGTTGACATGAAGGGGATTACAAACCTGGTGTATGTAACCTTCTGAGCTCTTATTCAGCCGTTGCACGCCTTCTATCAGTCCTTGCCACCAATCACCTTAGGTCTCTTTACATCTTACACCGCTTATTCAGATGCTGCACTGTTAATATGAAAGGCTTTTCATCAATAAACGTCTACGGTCAATCCACATCCCTTACTAAAGCGCCGAGTCCCCATCGTTTACACGAAGTGGGTGACGGATTATGCGACTCTCGCCTTTGAAGGCTCTTTATCAACTCCTTTCAATGGTTATACTTCCTATCACACTTCATCAGTGTTCCTATCCTGTCGCCTGTGCTCCTACCGAATTAGACCGCTTTAGGTCCACAGGGACAGAGTTATGAAATTCCGCGTAAACAGATAGACAGACGCGAGCGCTTCATATATAGTAAGGATTGCGATAGCATCGGAATTTAGCGATAGCATCAGGATTTTTAGGTAGCCCCTGCCTTTATGTGCAAAGCAATGTTTGTTGTATTGTTTCCACGTTTCTCCCTTCTAATGGACATGTTCATGCTCTTTTGTCAGTCAAGGTTTGGGGCAGCACCCCTTTTCTGACGGACGGGAGCTGACGATTCCTTCCTCATTTACTGTCGAAATCGTGGCTCGACTCCAGTCATATGCCATCGTGACGCAAGGAGCCAACACTTCGGAAAACGCTGGATGAAAGACGGACGTGCGAGTGAACAAAGGCTTTGATGATGATTAGGTGCATACGATAGGCCACGTCCACATACCATCACAATATTCACTGAAATGTCACGCGATTACGATTTACTATTTCTCATACTCAGCAATTTGAAAAAGGCCTCGACTCAGTTGAGATCAAGAAGGCTTTGTCCAGACTAAGGAGGTGTTCCAACTCACTATGTTGGCCACAGTCGTTTTGTATGGACACTTCGTCGGGAAATCAACATGATAAACAAACTAGAAATTTGAAGGGGTAGGGAAGAAAGCTAAGAACATGAGAACTTGCTCACTCGTTTTGGGTACCTCTGCCTTTTCTCTTCTGAATAGCCCCGGAGACTCCAGCCTGGGTTGGCTGGATGACCTTGTAGAAAGCGTCGTGCGATCGGCGGGAAGAAGGATAACGTTCGGAGTTCTTCGATTATTAAAGTGCAGAAGAACGTACCGAATCTCGTTCTCTGTCAGTGAACGAAGGTAAACCAGGCTGCAACATATGCGAAATATTATATGATCAAGTGCTTTGCAGCCCAGTTGTCTCAATGAAGAATACTCTAGTGGAAGGGATAGGCTGAACGTCTGTAAACTTGAAAAATAAAATCTGAATGGGCAAGTGTGCTCATTTCACTCCTGCAGAATCCTCCAGTATGAATTACTACATACGAATCTCATACTAATCACATAGGGTCTTAAGAGGAAGTCCGTTAGCTCAACATCAGCACTATAGGGGTTGTAGGTTCTTAACGAGGGTTCATTCGCCAAACATATCACACGAAACTTTGTAAAGCTTTGTTACGTTAGTTGTCCTCAATCCAGCATTCAGGGCTCTGAAGGGTGGTTATAACATTTAAATGGTTTTGCAAAAAACTGCTCTAGAATGATATTAACAAAAAACTTTGCACAGATAAGGAGTTTAAGTAAGGACACCACGATATGAGGTCAGAAGCCCAGCCCTTCTACTTTGGAATGTTTCGCTGTTTTGTTTGGACGATGTAACAGGACACTCGCTAAACGCCCTTATAAACGAAACAACCATCATCATCTCTATCTATATTTCCAAACCTATGCTATTACAGCAACTCATCTGCGGGGTAAGCGTGATCATAAGCGTTTTGGCAGAAAACAATGAGCAAGTAGTCTCCAGGTCAGCAAGATTTTTGTGTTCTTTATCGGTTCTTCCATGCTTCTCTTTCAGATGCCCTTCTCTCAATTACATTCCTTGTGCGGATGGTATTCTTTGCATTCATAAAAGGTGATGACTTGTAACATTCTCATTTTTCTGTAGTGATCGGAAAAAATCGCAACTTCAAAATTCTATTTTCCCATTCTGCATCGGTGTCTTCATATGTTGGATCACAAAACTTCTTTTTTCTACAGTGTAGTATTGTAGGATTTCAGCTCTGAAGAGAGTAATTTGACTCACTGCCACGCTCATCATACTTATCCATCAGTCGTTTCGAGTATGGGAGTTTAGCCGGAGCGACGTGCTGCATTCGATGCACCCTCAGTTATCGCGCAAACTGGGTGTATATAGGTTGAAGCGGTCCCTCCCATCGCGCCACCCTTCCGACACGCTTTGCGACGTGGACAACTCGTCCAGATGATCGAGCAACCCACTGCCCATCCAGCTGATAGAAACCGGATCGATGACGCCACGCTAATAGGCAGAATACAAGCAGGCCCACAATTCGGCGTCTAATACATAGTAGCGGCGTCATCGATCGGGCTTCTATCAGCCGGATGGACAGTGGGTTACTCGAACACCTGGACGAGTTGTCATGCTCGCAAACTGCGTGTATGGGCGGCACGACAGGAGGGCTCGCGCCAAACGACCGCCTCCCGTGCAAATTCAATGCATGATTGGAGCATGCAATGTACAGCGCTGTTTCCGTGGACGGTTACAGTCACTGCAGTTTGAAGGAGCAAATCCACTAACAAACATTAGTAACATGCACGTCCGTGCGAATTCGAAAATGATTTTACCACCTCTTTTTTTGCTGTAAGGTTCAGCTGCCAGATCCTTTTTGAGCTCAGTGCCACATAACTCGGAAAGAGCTCACATTTCGAACTTTTGTTCCCTGGTCATACCGAAAATATAGCGAAATTGAGACGTTAACAACAACTATTTGGATTTTCGATGAAGTTATTTGGTACATTTAAAGCTTATTTTTTTTATGAACGTACGAGTCGATACTTAGTGTAACGGCTGGTCTTGCACGGGATGAATATTTTTGATTCTCGTGATGTTCTGAGATATAAATTTAATTGCATTTAAGGTGGATGTGCGACGGCAGAATTGACTGCTCAGACCATTCTGATGAAGATGACTCGGTTTGCTTAAAAAGACCGCGACACGGACCCCTGGTTGTTGATACGCTCATTTCTATCAAGCTGGATTCGGATAGTAACGGATGATGTTGAAGGATGGATCTAGTCGATACGTGCCTCATACGATGAAGTGTCCCAAAGGATGGTTCATGTGCATGAACGGTTCTAAATGTATCGCTTCTCGATTCGTATGCGATCAGAAAAATGACTGCAGGTTGGTGAATAGATCATTTCGGTTGAGGTCGAACTAAATAGCACAGTGGTAAAGAGAGAGTGCGTTCTCGCGAGATAGGACCTAATAGAGTTGTTTTATTTACAAGGAAAGTAACACCAATGCCATTCAAGTTAGCTCTGACTGGTTTCGTATTCTTTTGTGTATGGAACCCTCTAAAGGGTAAAATTAACTCTGGAATGCGCTAGTAAGACTGACTTTGTACATCAAGAAGCTGGCCTTCCTAGCCCATTTCAGCGTTTCAAGAATATTCTTCTAGCAGTCACGGAACTCCAGACTCCTTAAGCTTATTAATTGCTTCCTTACAGGTTCCTCCTTACAAAACGAGTTTCGGGTTATTTCAGTGACGGATCAGACGAGCGAGAGTTTTGTCACGGCTGGCAAGCTCTGAAGAGAGGTGTTACTATGAGGATATGAAGATAGCTTCGGAATGGATCACAACACTACACTGGATAGTAGTCGCTACCAAGGAGGTAGCGCTTATCCCTTCGAACTCAGTACTCATACTCACTTACAGAGCTGTTATAAAGTATCAACTAGTAGCAAATTTGCATTCAAAGCTTACTGTTTTAGAAACTCTCACTACACGTTTCAGCAGTAACCTGGGAATCGGTAGCTTCAATCCACTCCTGACCGAGCCATTTATTCCTGTATCCTTATCCTAATAGATGGGTAATGACAGTATCTATGCCAGAGCATTTTCAACAATATTTGCATTTCTCTCTTGTGCATCTACTTAATTTCAATGGTAGTTTTCTTTTTCACCTGTACATTTTCCCCGGATCGATGTGTATGCTTAAAAGTATAAAACGATCGGCCTCAATCAGATCCATCTCATATCCATGCTCTAACATCAAGCACTAAAGTCTCACCATACAAATGGCAGAGGGAATGATTACGGTTCTTGTAGGCTCGAATATCCATACATGAAGAGTACGAAGGGAACAACGTTCTAAAAGAAAAGATCATGTGTGGACGAGAAAGCTTAGCAACTGCTGTAGCAGCAGCTAACTGCGTTCACCCATTATAAGATGTATTAGTACCAGAGCTAACTTAAAATTACTATATAAATGGTAGAGGAAGACCATATCGTTGGTTAAGACAAAATTGGAATGTGAGTGGTGAGACAATTATTTTTTCGGCTTTCTCGGTGCATTTCATAAAATCCAGGGTTTTTGAATTTTTCTAGTAAATTGATGATACCATTCCCTCCGGGATCCCACTTCTATCAAAGAATCCTTTACCTTCTTTGAACAGTGAAACCATTCTGCGACGAGCTCGCATCTGACTGAACACGAACGTACTTCTTTCAATCACTTATTGGCTCATGTCAACGCTATCACAATGGAGGCTGCTTCTTACATTCAGAAGTAGGCGGTATTTTTAACCGTAGACGAATTCTGTACTAACTTATGCCGTTCATTCCTAGCGGTAGGAGCAGAAGTTTGTGAGGAAAACGGAAGACGGTGAAAATGAGCCAGTATTCATGCCGAGGAACACACATCCACCAACCAGACTCTATTTTTCATCTTCACATATGAAAGTTGTTGTAGTGACCAAGTGGAGAAGGCTGAAGCGCAGTGAGATGGAACCTCTGACGAAATTTGCACAATCTTGCCATGGTCTTTCACAAAGAATTTCGCATCAGCGAAAATCCATTCACAAATTCCCGTTCGAGATCTTTCTTTCAATCGCATATCAGATCAGTTTAATAGTCTTATCAGGTTTGGAATGTTCTCTTATATCATCACACTTTCTAAGTTTGTCCATACACTGGGGAACGCTTTAGATTACAATTTTATTTACTCTCTTCTCAGACTGTAGTTTCATCCTTGACGACGTCATTCATGAACAAATTCAAACGAATCTCTGCGTCCCTGATGTACGAATCCGTATCTCGCATGACGTCGTTCTCGACAAGAGTCGAGGAGCCTACGGACCGATCAACCTGCAGTGAATAACAATTACTACTATTATTCCCATTTGGCAAAGGTTTAACAATATTTAACCTCATCCGGCATAGCATTGAGCAGCTTCCGATGCACCATCTGCTGCAAGGGAAGAGGGGTTTTCCGCGGTATCGATGAGACCGTAGACGAGATCTCACCCGTGATGGAATCTGGTCGCTCAAACACTTCCGAAGCTCCTGTTTTCGTTTGCGGTCGGAACGTGAGATTCGTGATCGTTCTAAACCTATTCATTTGCAAAATGGCTAGAGTATAGGTTATCAATGCAAAGTTTCGGAAAACAAAAGCATGTCTTGGAAGCGTAAACAAGAAAGATTTCTCGTGGCTACTGTTTTATGGTCGAAGAGCGGCTACCAGGTCAAAAAATGAAGAGGCAGAAGGGAAACAGTCCATAACCTTTGGAAGGAAGGTATCGGTCATTTCACACCAAACACTCTCTGTTTTCTTGGTGTTTTGCTGACTGCTGTTTTAACGCCGCGGTACGCGTTCCGAAAGTCTCACAAGGTCGGCGATTTATGGACAAAACTTCAGCGTCGAACGGGACTCGAACCCGTATTTTCTTTTTATTTATTTATTTATTTATTGAATGCGCTCAAAAGGCGCGCTACAACGGAAAGCTCGAGTCGCAGGTTCTGCATCACACTAAGAAGAAATAGCAAATAACGGGAGAAACCAGATTTCGAAGAAAATTGATTTCGTCATTCAAGGGCCGAAGCGAGAGTTTGAGATTATAAAACGTGGAAAAAATAGAAAAGAAAAACAGAAGTACTCGAACCTGGGCTCACAGAGGTGAGAAACGAGTAAACATAGTTCTTAAAACAGGCAAAAACAAGAAAGATTAAGAAGGAAGAGAAAAAAATAAACGAAATGATCAAACAGGAAAATTCTTGACAGGAAAGCCTGACAGGGGGTTCATATACCACTTCTCAACTTATTGTACCGGACTTCACTACTGAAGCTCAGGAAAGAACCTCTGACAGCCCATCACACTACACAAGTTCAGCATACTGACGTGGCTGCAGAACACAATATACAGAGGCCGAACGCAGCACAGACCCGCACCAGTCGGCTATGGTGCCCACTCGCCATACGAGGGTTGCCTTTTATATTTTGAGATTTGGCAACACTAGTGTAGCAATCTAGCAACTGACACCACTATCGTAAAGGTTGATTATTTTGAGGTTACGTTGCGAAATTTGAGCGCGATTTGTATTGTTTACAGTAAGTTATAAGATTTTGTTTAGGCCAAGTTACGGGGTTTAATCGTGAGCATTTTCGCGCGGTTATTTTCTACAACTTTCGAGGTGGGCTAACTCAACAGCAATGCATGGATGAACTTAGTTCAATTTTTGGTGATGAAGCTCCATCCAGGGCCAGTATTTATCGATGGTACAGTGAGTTCATCCGAGGTCGTAGTTCACTCGAAGACGAATTTCGTGGAGGTCGTTCAAAATCAGTTGTTGTTCCGGAAACCGTTGACACTGTGCACAAACTAATATTGCAAGACCGTCATGTGACCTATTGTGAGATTGGGACAACCTTAGGCATTAGAGGGACCAACATATATTCAATATTGCATGAACATTTGACTGTAAGAAAATTTGTTTTTGAAAAATTTGGTAACCCCCCCCCCCCAAAGAAAAAAGAACTCGTGTCGATTTGTCGAAAGAAATGCTCAAAAAATACGGTCTCAGTGCTTCGAAATACGTCTACAACACGTATGGGTATTTCAAGATGAGCGAAATCCAACAAAAGCTCTCCGCGCACCAAGCACTTCCAAGCAATTGGTCTCCTGTTTTATTGGAAAAACTAGACATGTCGTATCCGTACCCCTAGGACAAGCAGAACAGCCAATTATGAATGGAATACAACCATTTGTTTGCCAGTTGCCTTCCAAGAAATCAAGAAAGCCAACTGCTGAAGACGGATTGCTCTTCACCACGACAATGCGAGCTCCCACACAACGGCTCAAACAGCTGCATTTTTGAGCACTCAAAACAACGATTTGACAGGTCATCAGCCATGTAGTCTCCGGGTGAGTTCTTTTCAATCCGTACGTAAAAAATAAAATGAGAGGTCAACGTTTTTCGACACTTGAAGAAGCCGTTGTTGCGTTCAGAATCCATGTTTTAGAGTTACCTACATCAGAGTGGCAAAAGTGCTTCAAAATGTGGTTCGAGCTCATGCAAAAGTGTATAGATCTTAATGTGGAAAATTTTGTAAGGCAGTAAAGCGATTTTCAATAAATAGTATTTGTTTCTGCTCTCAAATCTCAAAATATAAAAGGCAACCTACGTACCAGGGGTCATAGGGCTCACCGAAACTCCGAAACACAGGTATACCGACATCCCACGTGGAATCGGTGAGCTAGGAGAGTGCAACGGGTAGGCCACCGAATAAATGTGCTGAGAAACCACAAGTAGGGGATTCGTGTTAATTCATGTCATAGATAAGATCAATGGTGGGCCAATGAGGGAAGAGTGTGATGATCATCACCCCAAACACCTGAGAGGATATCACATGACAAAACTAATCGCAAAACAACTTGAACCACTTATCCGCTAGGCCTAGAACAGCAGGAGGAGATGTAGTGCTATACAAGGATATTCCGAACATTACAACATATCTGCATTCATACGTAAGAAGTCCAATTTCACGAAGGAGACAGCTCTTACTCAGCGACTCGGGAACTACTAAGGTCGATCCAGTCGATATAGTTACCAAATACGATGAAGCAGTCAAAACATTCTCAGTAGGTTCTTCCATTAACGAGGCTTTTTGACGTGGTTTCCTATCCATCACTCCGGGGGGCTGAGAAATCGTCTAGGCCATTTATTCATAGATATTTTTTGCATTTTCTGAATGCGGCCAGCATTATTACGGTGTACACAACTGGCTAACTCTCAAAATATAAGCTCGAATGACTCAAAGGTCTAAAAAGTTCGATCGAAGCCCACAAACTTCATGCTTATGCCCTTCGAACTGCACCATAAACTTAGGTATTGAATGAAGGAATGATGTTATATGAACAAGATCTGCTAAAAGCCAGACAGGAATTCATCTTAGTTTCGTCTAAAGTCGTACCGATAACAACTGTTCATATTTATTCTGTCCCAATTACAAGAAAGTTTTTGTCATATTTATTGTTTGTTCCTTATAATGTAGACCGTTTCGAGGCATTTTGTAAACTATTGGTAACTAGGCAAAAGGACGGACCGTTGATTTGAGCGGTCTCCAAAAGTGTTGATAGCTATTCCGCCTCTTGCAAGCGGCAACACATCGTAGGAGTCGTTGTTTCTTGTCGTCGTCGGGCGATCAATATATTGGGGAGGCGATGGCATGCGTTCGTCTAAAGTTCAGTTGTAGATATTTTTCCCCGGATGGTAAGGATAGTCGGCACGCTATATCTTCTCTTTAAACACTTTTACAAATTCAACCAGAAATCCAACAGAAGCGAAATTCAACCCACCGTTAGAGAGGTCTGGCCGTTGCGCAAGTTTGGAAGGTCCCTCTACATTGCTTCTCCCCACTGAGATGTATTTCAGTGGTGTTGAAAGCGGTGGTTTGTGGGCATCCTCTTTTTTCTCGAGTTCCGTGTATTTGATTTTGTTCGTTGAGCTCACACTTGATGGACCATCACCATCGAACGTTGTTTCGATGTCGCAATAACCATTTTTGGGCCTCGGAGAAATACCGAAATCCCTGATAGTAAGTGGCGGCTTGTCGAATTTACTGGGAGAGGAAGGCTTTGTTACTGGAATGGCAGGCTGAAAAAAATATCAAGTTGAGGGCAATGCTGATGACTTCCATGCCTGATATTTTTATTGAAAAAGCGAGTGTATTACTCGCACTACTATTCTTCCCTCTACCCCACCTTTGACAATGAAGTCCATATAACGGGAATCAAAACTATTCTCGTCATAGGCCCTGACCTAGCGGACACCGATTTTGGCAGCAGGGACATCGTAGTCAACTCTCTACGTGATCGAGAAATCAACATAATGAACGACCCGGCTTCGGGGCTAAACAGAAGGACCACTTCATTTAGGGAGCATTTAAAAATATCGGAGGAGTGCAAATAGTCAAAAAACATCCGCCTCCGCGCTCACTTTGCCGATACTGAAAAAGAGGGTGCTCATAGTTTCCCCATATGCGCAAGTTCACAAGAGAATCCGGAGTGCCGAGCCCCGCCAACAGGTGGAACAGGTGATGCTAAGTCAGTAATAACATATAGCTT